CCCCCATCAACCACCCGCACCCGCAGCAGCTCCCGTTATGGGGCAGAGAGAGCCCGGGGACCCCCGGGAGGGGAGGTCCGGCCGCCCACGCCCCCACCGACCCGTCACCAAACCGGTGTTTTACACCCCAAAGCTGCGTGTTCCGCTGCGGCAGAAGATGAACACAAAGTCAGAACCAGCCACCTGGGGACGGGACGGTCGTTTATTCACAATCAGCAGAAGCACTTGCAACTTTCATTTTTTTCCCTAAAGGAATCACGTTTCCCCACTCCCTCCCCCCCGACCAGACACTGTCTCAGAGCCCCACACCGAGGGGGGTTTACCTGGTACGTGTCCTTTATCATCCTCACCGTGTCCCGGGAACGGCCCCGCTGGCGGCCGCCGCCTCCCCGAGACCTGAGGCTCCCCACGTGGCTCCTGCCATCAGCCTGGTTAAGGGACAACCCAGCCAGGGCCAAAGGTTATCACCCGCTGGATGCTGCACACATTCCTGATTGGGAAGTCTCGGGATCCGTGGGGCTCACGGAGCAGACGGGCCAGCTGCAGCTGGCAGTCGTGGAAGACAAATGTCCATGGGTGGCTCTGCCAGGGTGGGCTGGGAAGCCCAGCAGGGGAAGGCAGCAGCTGTCTTGCTCGTGCAAAGAGCTCCAGGCCACAGGAGTGGATGTGCCAGTGCTTAGAGTCACCCCTTCTTCTCCCAGCACAGCATTCCCAGCACTGCCACACCATCCCGACATCCCTGAAGGCTGCACTCACAGCTCCAGTCCCACCCCAGCTCCTGCCCCAGCCAGTGCCCCAGGCAGGCAGCAGCTGGGGGTGTCCAAGCCAGGTTCCTGATTGCAGTTTGCAATGAAGAAAGCGTGGACGCCACGTAGTGTTCCAGAGACTGACAATTCCCACTCTAAATCCTGGAGCAACCAGCTCTGCCAGCCACCCCTCCGTTTTGCCCAGGAAGCTCCTTCCTAAGCTAGAGCCCAAACTCCAGTCAGCCAGTCATGCTGTCTGAGAGTGACTCTGCCTTCTCCAGGACACCTCCACATGGCTCAGAAGCACCTGCCTCATCCTACATCAACACCTCAATGTTCAAAGGCTGCATCGTGCAGAAGCTGCGACCAACCCAGAGAGCTGAGACACCTCCCAGCAGGGCCCAGTTTGGTCCAGGGTGGCTTCTCCCAGTCCTGCTGAGAGCCCCAGCACTGACAGAGCCACTTTTTTCCATCACCAGGTCCATGTAACAATCAATCCAGAAGATTAAGGTAACCAATACAGACAGCTGCAGGGGGGACACAGGAGCTGTGCCAAAGCTGCAGGGAAACAAGGCCGGGCTGGCAGGTGTCACCTCCTGTCACACAGCTCCGCGGTGGCCAAGCTGCTGCACAAGGGGAGGAGGTGGCAGAGCTAGGTTAAAGCCAGCAGTTCCTCAACTAGAACAAAGTCCTTTCCAGACAGAAAGACCCCACCAGGACATCCCTGCAAGGCAACTTACAGAGCATTAGCCCAGCTGGGACCCTGCTGGGGAAGCCCCTCCTCAAAACACCCTGTCAAACTCCGTCTGGTTGGTGGCTGCCGGGTTCCTGCCTTGGTTGGCCGGCTGCTGGGGCATGTGGCCGCCCCTCCTGCGCGGGGGGGCCAGGTACTCAAACATGGACTGGTTGTGGGTGGACAGCATGTTTTTGAGGTCCGAGGGCATGGGGTCTGACCAGAAGAAGTCGTGGTTGAGGGCGTCGTCGCTGTCGATGCGCTGGGCAGGGTCCAGCACCAGCAGCTTGTCGATGAGGTCCAGCGCGTAGGGGTCCTTGACGTAGGCCTTCAGGCGGTCCTTCACCTTCCGCTTCTGGCCCTTGGGGAGATCCAGCTTCTGGTACAGCTCGTACTTATCCACGTTTGGCCAAACCTGGCAGGGAAGGAGGGAGGGTTGGGAAGAAAGAGTTAAGCAGAGGACAAGCCATTTTTTTTTTTTTTGGATGCTAACACCCTCAGGCAAAAGCAGGGCGAGGTCTTCGGAGAGAGTAATACTATTTTATAACCTCCAATCCAGCAGACCGTGTTCCCTCAGCATGAAGGAGGCACTGAAGACTGCACTAAAGCTTGGAGACATATGGACAAGCCAGGACAGAGTCCTCCTAGTGCTGGAACAGCATGCAGCATGCCCCAGGATTTCTGCTTCTCCCACAAAAAAGCTAGCAAAGAGCACAGCTAAGGCCAGCAACAACATCCAGAAAGGTAAAGTGACAGAGCTTACTGCTAAGTACCAAGTGGATGTATCTTTAATCTCAGAAAGCAAAGCGTGCTGCAATCACGAGCGCTTACCTCACCCTTGACCTGGGAGTGGCCGTTGCAGGTTAGATACAACCTAGATATTTAGATATTTAGAAAGCACCTTCAATGTACGTACATAATGTACACGGGCTCTAGGCCTCTGCAGCTGCCTGCACAACCACCTGCCTAATGCAGCCCCTAGACCAAGAGATCCCTCAGTTCCATCCCCCATGAGAAGGTACAAGAAGCTGCCCTTAAATAAGGAGCTGAAAAAGGGCTGAGTGTTCACACCAGGGCCCAGCCAACACCACAAACCACAAGCCAGAATTAAAAAGGCTTTTCAAGGTGAAAAGCAAAGCAGCTGAGACATACCCCTCAACACAAACAAAAAAACTCATCCTTAAGCAGAAATTCAGAGGGTGTTTACCTGGGAGACAACCCTTAAACACAGGCTAGAACAGATTCTTACACGTCAACCAGCATCCTCTCTGTGCTCAAAATAAGGACACAACTCATCCCTCCTGAAGGAGGTCTGGGAGGCCAAGTTCACCCTCTTCTCCTTAGGAGGTTGCAGGAAGTAACAACACAGCTGTAGTTTACACAGAGCAGCAAGAAAAGTGCAGTACCCCACTGTGCACTCAGCTCCCAGGGGACAAAGAGCATTTGCAGGAGCTTCCCCAGCCTCCCTGCCAGCAGTGAGCACTTCCAGTGCCAGGAA